TCCCTCTGTCTATCACCTCTTTTTTTTCCAAATCCTAGTAACAGTATGAAGTCCAGCAGCCCCATGTGACTGGAGCTGAGTTCTGTACCACTCTCGGGGCTCATGCATAATTCTGGTAACGAAGAGCTCTGATGGTTGATCCTGGTGTCCTTCTTGTCCACCTGTGTTAAGGGTCAGAGGCAGCAGCTGCTTTGTCAACTTTCACAGTGGACTCTGGACAAGCGATTAAAAAAAAAAACTGATACAGAAGAGCTGTAATGACATCAGTGTCTTTAGGCTGCTCTGCTCCTACCTCACCAGGATGATAACTTGGTTTCAACACGTGTTCAATTCCACCTTCTTAATGCTAATCCAGGGTTTCCATTTTACATGAACTGTCTAATATCTTACAAGAGGGCTGGATGTGCTTGTAATACAGGAAATGAAGGTTGTCATTCAGTGGGAAAACCAGGTCACGTTAAGGCCTCGACTTTGTCAACTTTCACTTCACTTCACTTCACTTTACATGTTCTTCTTCCCCCAAATGTTGCTCTTGTTGTTTTTTGCACAAACAAACTTCAAAACGACACATTCATTTTCATTCCCACCATGCACCTAAGTCTGAGTGGAGTTCTCATTCAGACGCCATTCTACAGAGAGCATCTCATTGTCAGTGTCCCAGTCTCTCAGACACAGAGCCGCTCAGTGCTGCAGTGACGGCGCTGTAAAGAGGCCCAATGAGCCACTGTATCGTCTCCAGCTGGACAAAGGAAGACTCACAGCAGGAGCTGAATGGACCGCGAGCTACTGTGGCTGGAAATACATCAGTGGAATTAATGAACACACAAGTCTGTCTGCTGCTGCTGCTGGGTTGTTAGAATCAAGCTTTACTATAATATATGATATGTTATATTTTAATGTGTGTATATTAACAGAGTTTGTTGCTGGATTATTAACATGACTATGAGATACTGTACATACCTCCACTTTTCCATTGATGCACCATTTGGGCTTTTTGTGCAGTGTCATTATAAGCCAAAGCTTTATATCCATAAAATATAGTACAATATAATAATATAATATTATTTCTGTTTAGCTACAATAGGAGGTTTGGTTCCTGGTTGCAGTGAAGAAATAAAATTAAAAAAAACACCCAAATGTCCATGACAGCTAGGAAACATTCAGTGGTGTTGAAAATAAACTTCTTGTTCTTTCAATTACAGTTTTTTAAAAGTAGTAAAACAAGTACTACAGAGTAAATACATTTATGTACTCTATTCTACTTTACTTTTTGAAGTCACGATGATCAATGTTAATGTCTTGATGAAAAAGAAAAGTTTGTATGTCACGTCAAAACTTCTAACCCAGGCATGGGCAAACTAAGGCCCGAGGGCCGGATGTGGCCCATTTAGCTTTTTAATCTGGTCCGCCAAACCTTTCCAAATTATATAGTTTGTTTATATTATCATTATACTTCTGCCTTTTACCTACAATACCCACATTTCCCCAATAGATGGCATAGAAAATGATAAAATCATTT